CTTTTTATCTAGCTTTCCATGTATACAGGAAAGCTGTTTCACACATTAACGCTGTTCTGTGATGCATTTCAAGCGAAAAAAAAAACCTGCTGCATGGTTCCTCTGCTGCACAGAGGCTTTGGGCAGCCCAGGCTTCACCCTGCCCACATACTGCAAGAAGCTCCCACTTTATAAGACACCTGCCAAGAGTATAATTTTTATTGACTTAGATCATAATCTTTTACCCAAATCTGGCAGACAACAAAGGCAATTAGCTAAGCCTCTTTCAGTTTTAAATCCCTCCATGTTTCTACATGTATTATTGATGAAGGTCCCAGGAAGAGCTGCAACGACACAGCTTCTGTTCTAGGCAAACAAGCCACTCCATCTGATGACAAAGTAAACCAAACACCCGAGATGCAGAGCATGTTACAGGAGCAAGGCACACCTGGGCAGGAAATCACTGTAGGGGGACTGAGAAATTCAAGACAAATCTAAGGAACACCTGAGAAGTTTCAGCACTGCAAAGAGGGCTGTCCTTTTTGCTAAATCCTGAGGACGAGGAAGTGCTATCATTTTTTATACCAGAACACAGAGTCGGATTTTCATTTAAGGAAAGAAAATAGCACTGATGTTAAGATGTACACTGCCAAATCAGAGGTGTGACACAGTGGGCAAGAGAGAGGTGTAAATTTTTCTCTCTAGGGAAAAAAAAAAAACAAAACAAAACAAAAATATCATGCAAGAGTATTACTTGAGGGGTGAGGGAAAAGTAGGGGAGGAAGAGCAGAACTACAGTCCCTGACACACCTGATCAGTGTGTGCCTTCAGCCCACACTGTGAGAGATACAAAATGATGACGACAGTCTTGCCTCTGATGGAAACTGGTGATGTACCAAGCATATGGTTTCCTAACAGCACAGGGAGCTGGAATGCTCTGTGAAAGGCAGATTTAATCTCTCAGCTGTCTCTCAATGTCCATCAAACAACCAAAGATCTTGGCTCCTTCCTCCACATGAGAAATAATGGAACAGTCGAATAACATATCCAGATGGCTCAAACCAAGCATATCAAGACAAAAGGTTTCCAATTTTAAACACTCTAGTATCTCTGCTGCTGATCTTACTGCCAACACATTCACACTTCACTGCAACATGAATTTACTGTTTTATAGGTCCCATAAGTATGTTTAGGGTCCCACAGAAAATAAACCCTGACCTAAGGAGAATATATTCCTAGAATGGCGAAAGAAAACAGAACTCCTAGAAGAGAGAGGTCTAACATTGTAAAGTTGCCTCACTGACACAGAGAAAAGGAAGGGACAGGATACGCAGAAGACACAAATATAAACAAGTTCACCCTTATACATATATGGGTTACTCTTCCCTGTTAAAGTGCAACACTGGGCTGGAAAACAGCAATGACAGAGAGCACTACAATAGCACCAAACCACTTTGGATCCAAAAAAAATAGTTCAGCATACTGAACATGAAGGCCTAGAACAGGTGCTACTCGAGGACAAATATTCTGCCAGCCAAAACCTACAATTGTGAGCGAGCAAACACAGTAGGATTTATGTCAGTGAGCATGCCTGTTTCTGCTTTCCAGTATCACTCAGGAAGGGCAGTGCATGCCCCTGACTCTGACCATCAATAATCTTTTGACATGAGTCCTTGCAGCTTCATTTCAACTGAAGCAGTACACACTATTAAAGGCACAATAAAGACTTCAAAAGACAGGATGAGAATAGCTAGTTCACCTCTGATCCAGGGGGAGCAAGACAACAATAGAGGGAATGGAAGAAATTTTCTGCTCTTAGCATCCTCAGATATGGGACATCCACATGGGACCGTGTGTGGGGCCAAGGAGGCAACACACTAATGCAAGGTGAAACTAAAGGACATCACATCAATCAGTGCCCTGCATCTTCCAGTGGTTTTCAGGTCATTCCTGAGACTCAGATGAGTACTGCACTACATCTGAGATCATCTCTCCACAGACTCAGCAGGACAGGCTGCCCCTTTGGCAACAGGGCTGGCAAAAACCAGGGGTAAGCACAGGCCAGCCTAAAATAAAACAGTTTGTTCAAGAGGAGGAAAGTGTGTTATCATGTACTTCGGGAGGTCTAGCTCAGCCGGACTGAGAATGATTGCACACAGCAATGCCAAACTAGCTTTAAAGCTTTCTCACCACAAAAAAGGCAGAGAGTGGACAAAGAAACAGGTTCCTTCACAAGCCTTGGGAAAAAAATAAAGAACGGAATCTTCTGAACTCACTGTGGGCTACATGGAAGAGTATTGTACAAGGAAATATTACAACCAGGAGTTCCTGAGGTGAAATGGAACAATATCCAAGTGGATCTGAATTTAAAAGTGCCAGAATCTTACTTCATTTTTACACTTTAAGGGAAGGACTAAAACATTAAAAAGGCACCATGTGACCACAGGAAACTGTGCAACTCACTGTTCCGAGTGAGCCAATGTATTAAGACTACCTAGATGATTCTGAGGATGAAATTAATTTCTTGAGCTTCAATGTAGTATTGAAATTAGACAGAAAAACATCCAGCAAACTCATTCTATTCCACGACGCCTTCCTATCATGAGGAAAGGCCTACTATTTACTTGCTGTTGGGCTGTTTTCCAAGAAACTGTTATGTTCAATTCCCGCTCTTGTTAAATACCTTGTAACAGTCGAATAGATCCACACATTTACAGATTTTGACCAGTGCAACAGCAACACCAAACCAGAGGGCTGAGTCAATTCCTCTAAGCAAGACAGAGGCAGCAAAGTTGCAATATTCTCAGAAAAACGTTCCTTTTACAAAGAGATTCATGAAGCACATAATGAAAATCACATCAGTTTAGTTCCCAACCTGAACTGACTGTACAGTAACAAAAAGAATCAATATTCCAGTGATAACTTCATGTTTTCACTGTCATAACTTCTTAAAAGCACAAGATCTGCTAGGCAGCACCTAAAAGGCCAGGAACAAACCGCTTCTAAATACCAGGGGTTTAAAAGAAGAGACAGAATTTACAAAGCATCTCGCTGACAAAGAAAGCTAATCAACAGAGACGTGGAAGCACCTCCACGACCACATCCAAACAGGTGTTTGGGGCCATTTCTCATCCCTTTTTTCCAGCAGATAACTTGTAGGAACATGTGGAATCACCCCTGTTCTTCTCAAAGCTCCTGACCACAGCTCTTTGGAACGTCAGCCTGGGTGTGCAACGCCTGATTTTTTAAGTGCCTGGCAAAACCCCCAGGGAAACTCCTGCATTGTGGATGACATAACTTGTCTTGAAGAACTGAGTCGAGGCAAGAGTTTACAAATTTTCCCTCTCCTCGTCAACAACTGCAATGCCCTTAAAGGGCGAAAAACTTTTAAATTACTATCGTGGTGGGGGATGAACAGCCTTGGGGGCCGCGGAGACAGATGGGGGAAGGCAGGAGGGAGATCGGCTGGGTCGGTACGAGCATCGCCGCTGAGTGCGGCGGGTGACCGCGGGCGGGGGCTGGCACCGCCGAGTGCCCCTGCGGGCAGGGACAGATGCTGCTGCCGAGCGGGCAGGCGCTGCCCGGCCATGGGGGACGGGGACAGGAACAGAGGGGCTGCCAGTGAGATACCTCCCAACGCCTTCGCTGCGTGGCCGAGGCGCTTCCCCGACGGTCACTCACAACAGGAGCAAAGATACGCGACAGGCGCGGGTGGCACGGGAGGACTCCGCCAGCCACCCCGGGACCCCGTTTCCTACATTACCACCCCCCGGTACTCACGGCGGGACCGTCGGCCGTGGTGTAGCGGACGATGATTTGGAAGGGCTGGTGCGGCTGGAGGGCGGCGGGCAGGGAGACGGTGAGGGACGAGCCGTAGTCGGTGAACGGGTCCACCCTGAAGCCGAGCGGGCAGGCGGAGCAGGGCGGCTGGGCGAAGAGGGGCAGCGGCGGCGGCGGCTCGGCGGCGGGCGGGGGTCCGGCGGGCGGGTCCCCTGGGGGGGCGGCGGGGGGCAGCGGCCCGGCGGCGATGCAGGGCGCCGAGAGGAAGGTGGCGGTGGCGGGCGGGCTGGCGGCGCAGGGCGGCGCGCAGGGCGGCGGCGGCGGCGGGCAGGGCGGCGGGGGCGGCGGGGCCGGGGCGGCGGCGGCCTCGGCGGGCGAGAAGGCGAAGGCGCAGGGCGCTTCCCCGGCGGCGGCGCGGCGGAAGGCGGCCGAGAGGACGCGCAGGGCCGGGTGCACGTCCAGCACCAGGGCGCGGGGCTGCGGGCGCAGCGCGCAGAGCTCCAGCACCAGGCAGCCCGCCAGCGCCCGCGCCTCGGGCCGCAGCTCCAGCCCCAGGTGCAGGTGCCGCAGGCTGAAGAGCTGCGAGCTGGACGCCGACGCCACGTCCGGCGGCGGCTCGGGAGGAGGCGGCGGGGCCGGCGGCGCCTCCGGCCCGGCCGCGGAGCCCTTGCGGCAGCAGCACAGGCCGGGCGGCCGCGGAGCCGGAGCCGCCATGGAGCGGTGGCGGAGGAGGAGGAGAAGGAGGAGGAGGCGGCAGCGGAGGCGGCGGCTGCTATGTGAAATCCATGGGCGGGCGGGGAGGAGGGAGGCCCCGGCGGCCGGAGCGGCCGGGGCGGGGAGGGGGGAGGCGGAAAGGACCGGCCGGGAGAGCGCAGGGCCCGGGCCCGGACGGCAGCGGCGGGCGCGGCCGCCGGGGGGCGCCGCGGGGGCGCCGGGGGGCGCTCGGGGGTGGCCCCGCCCCGCCCGGCGGCTGCGCGCGCACGTGCCCCGCCCTCACAGCGCTCGCCCGCCCTGCCCGCCGCTGCTCCTGCTCCGGACCCGCTCCCGAACATCCACTCGTCCGTTCATCCATCCACAGGCGTGGGCGCTGCACGCCCAGCCAGGCCCACGCGTGCGGACCCGCGCACCGGCGGCTCCAGTTCAGTGCGAACCCGCCCACACCGACCCACGCGGAGCTCCCCTGCTTCCCCACACCCCCCAGACCACCGCCGCCTCCCCGGACACACCGATCCCAGCGCTCCTGCTCTGGGGAGGACCCTTGGCACGGTCGCAGTGCCCCGCTCAGGTCACTCCTGTCCCCTCACAGCCGGCTCTGCCCCTCCGCACCGCCTGAACACTTCATTTTCACTGCTCCCCTTGCCAGCTCCTCGACAAACACCCTCAAGCCCTCCACACTACGGCTCCCAGCCGGGCTGAGCCTTGCACCCTCATCCCACCGGTACCTATTTTGGCCTCCTCCTTTCTGGTCACACCTCCACATGTAGCTCACAGGCTAACCCTAAAAAGCCTCCCTGTTCCCTGCAACCCCATACACACTCTTTTTAAAAATCTTTTCCCTCCCATCGTTGCCTGCCTCCAACTCTCACTCCAAACTGCCCCCAGAGCGCAGCTCACACATAATGGACTTTATTCTTCCCCAGATCCTCGAAGCAATCAGTCACACGCCATCCACTGCTGCCTTCCTAAATCGGAAAAGACAGAAACCACAAAATTATCAGCTTTGTACAATCGCTTGTTTCTCTGCATGGCAACAGCAGGAGTCAGCAAGCTGGGAGGAAGGAGGTGTGCTGCAAGTAACTGTGATTTGCACTCCCTGCAGCCCAGGAGAGGCGTCCGGGTAATCAGCCCCGTGTAGTGACACTTCTGTAAGTTATTTTCACTCCAGTTTTCACTGTTACACTTTGCCTACACCTCAGCTGCCTGATGAGGCTCCAAGGCACATATTTTAGATGACACAGGAACATTTCTTACATGGTTGTGGCTTTACTGAACCCGTAGTGGTACATTCTAAAAGCCTCCCAAGCCTTGCACTAACAATCTGCACCAAATTCCAGTTGACTTTCCACTATGTTGTCATGCTGGAGGCAGAAACTGCGGCCTCAGCACAACGTGGCTGCGGTCACCGGCTGAAACAAGGGTCAAACAAATCACAGTATCACCCTAGACAGACCTGAAGCTAAAGAAAACCTTTGTGTAATCACTTATATATAGTAGAACACATGCTACAGTTGCAGTAAAAAATAACAACGTAGCACTCAGGGAGGCTCTGCGGTTGCTGAGGGTAGTACAGCCACCCCTATACCTTCTCAGTATTCTTTCAAAGCACCTTCAAAAAGCAATTTTGTCTTTGCAATCCCCTTTGTAACTAAGAGAAACGTTTTGTCCTGCTATCTTTGTTCTCCACATCCTCCTTTAATAAATCAATTGTCCTGTATTTATCCTTCTGACACCTTCTCTCACTCACACCAGTTACCTTCTGAAAAAATTTGCCTTTCTTAACGTTCTTTTCAGTGACACAGTGAGACTGCTTGATCTGGCTCTCACCTACAGGTGATGTGCAGAGCACAGCCCCAACAGCCTCGGGATCTGACCCTGTACAACCTTCCCCCCAGATAAGGGTGAAGTCTCTCTCCTCAGGTGTTCAAGCCAGTACAACTTCAGGGACTGATTTTGGGCTTAATTACACCTGTCTAACTGCACATTAACTCCACTGGGTAATTTTAGAAGAATCCTACCTGTGTTTTGACTGAAGTCACAAGCAACTGCAATGTTTCCACTCAGACAGATGAGATGAGCAGGAAAATGTTGAAGAGGCTCTAAGCTTATGATAATGAATCAGGACTGGCCGCACTTTGGACAGAATAAGCAAAACTGATGCAATTTAAATTACAGAGAGCAATACAGCAACCAGTTATCCCAGGCAAATCTCTCTCCACTTGCACACCTGCTGGTCTTGGGCCACAGCCTTTGCTGTAATGTGTGCTGGTTGGGGCTGGGGTAGAGTGAATTTTCTTCACAGTAGCTGGTATCAGGCTGTGTTTTGGGTTTGTGCTGAAAACAGTGTTGATAATTCAGGAATGTTGTAGCTGTTGCTGAGCAGTGCTTGCACAGAGCCAAGGCCATTTCTGCTCCTCACCCCACCCCACCAGCAAGGAGGCTGAGGGTGCTCAAGGAGATAGACGGGGACACACAGCAGGGACAGCTGACCCCAGCTGATCAAAGGGTTATTCCATATGGCATCATAAAAGCTGAGGAAGAAGGAGGAAGGAGGGGACATTCAGAGTGATGTGTCTGTTTTCCCAAGTCACCATTACACATGATGGAGCCCTGCTTTCCAGGATATGGTTGAACACAGGCCTGTCTGGGAAAAGTGGAGAATGAATGCCTTGTTTTGCTTTGCTTGCATGGATTTTGCTTTCCCTGTTACCTGTCTTGATCTCAACTCTCAAGTTTTCTAGTTTTTACCCTTCTGATTTTCTTCCCTACCCCACAAGACTGTGTGGGGCTTAGTTGCCAGCTGGGATTAAACCACAACAGAAGCATGTGCTATCTCCATGCTACTTTAGGTAGAATCGTTTTAAGGAAAGTCTGTCCCAATCCCAGAGTCTTATTCTACTCCGCATAGGATGAAGTCTTCTCTGGGATAACACACTATAAATTCTACAGCACAATCCAATTCCTGAAAATTTCAATCATCATCATCGACCTCTTGTAGAATGCTTCAAAGATACAGATATTTCAGTCTCATTTGTAAATATTGATGTTTCTTCCTTCCATTTCAGTGACAGGGCCTCAGGCCAGGCCTCAACTTGCTCCTGTGATGCAGGATGAAAGCCAGTAAAAAAATTACAGCTACCCATGTGAACAGCAATACTTCAGTAAGTCTGTGAGACAAGTGCCAAGTGAAGCAGAGAAGCGATTACAACAGAAAGAACGTTTCCCTCTGGCAGTCTCTGTCTTTAATTCCAAAATAACAGTTGTGCAGCCAAGGTTTAACAAAATGGTTGAGCTAATCCCTGCTGTCCACAGGTTACTGTTCACCTGCTCCATCACAGGTCCTTGTCTGACACCTTGTTGAGCTATTTCAGCTCACCAAAGCAGCAGGAAAGATTCAGCTCTCTAGGAGAGCATGACTGGGAAGCAGCAGTTTGGTGCAGTGAATGCTGAGCGTGGTTTCCTCTCATACCTATGCTACTGTCACAGTCAGCACCTACTGAAAAGAGCAGCCCCACTTCACCTCCCTTCCAGCTGTGCCTTCCTGTCTCCTTCTTTGTACAGCATTCCTGCTTTTGGAGGGTGAACTTTCTGCAACTTAGCTTTCTGAACTGGGTCACTGCTGGACCACACAAGAGACACTCCTGCATCGGGAAAGGAGGAGGAACTCCCAGCCTGGAAGAAGAAGGAGGATAAGATCAGGATGGCTCCCCTTCTGCCCAGACTGCCATTAGCTCAGACTTAGCTGCAAAACGAAGCCACACACTGACCCCAGCAGCACTCGAGAACTAAGTGCATTAGCCCACTTCCTTCAAGGGAAATCCTGAAGTTCATGGGGTAAACTCAAGGCCTGTGAGCAGGGTAAGGTCTGTGCCAGTTAATTCTTGCTTAGGACAAGAGTTAAGAACAATCACAACAAATGATGGTTTTTGTGCTGTTTTCAAGCTACATTCCAAGCTCTGTTAAAGCCACAGTTTGCCTGTGGTACGGTACTGGTAGGTAGAAATGCTTGTTACTGTGACTGCAGAAATGTGACACTATAAACAGTACCATTTGCAAGTAAAGAAAATGGAAAATCTGAGCCTAAGAAGGATCTTCTGATTCCATCTGACCTCAGCCCTTCTACTTGGCTTAAAAACTTGCACTATAAATTATTACTCCCTTTACTACTCAACGTACAAGTATTGTAAGCCATCCTCATGCCGGAGAGCACACTTTTAAAGAAACACCTCTACTCTGAAGAAAGATCAAACCACGGCGTATGACCAGAAAAAAAACCCAAACCAGCCTGCAAACCTGTCCCCCAGGGCTCAAAAAGGTGAGATGTCATTTATGTGCCCAAAACAAACCACTTAAGCCAATAAAATTTACAAAACCCAAAATAGTTTTATTTACTTTTCAGATTTCTGCCTCAATGAGACATTTTGCAAACATGCTAAGGCTACAAAATGTCCAAGTTGACAAAGACATGCAACGCTGACCATTCAATAAGTCACAGCTATTATAGGAGCAACCGTGTCCCCCTGGGCCACAGGTCCCAAAAATGGGGATGGTGTACAGTGATCATGGCAATGCACTACACAGGACCCAGTAACCTGAGGTAGGTCATTTACAGTAAGAAAACCATGTCCTACACCAGTGTTACATCCTGATCAACAGGAACCTGTTTAAGGTTCCAGAAGACGTGGGGTCGAGGACTGCTTCCTTAACAAGTGTGCAATAAAGGAACAGGAAATATTGATGTTGTTTAATTTTAGTATAAGTGAGCAGAACAAAGAGTTAGTGTTACCCATGCCAGTGAAAGCCAACCTAAACCTCTGAGGAGTGTTAGCAGCTTCAAGGTAAAGGAGTCAGTCAGCTCAAGCAACTCTGGAAAGGCTTTCCTGCTACCACACAGGGCATGATTTGAACCTTATGATTAATTTGTTACAGATCATTCCACGAACAGTTAGATTTTGGTTGTGTTAGATCAGCGAAGCAGGAAGAGCTTGGGCTTGCTTGCATTAAAATAAACTCTGCTGATACAGTAAGAAATACTGTGTCAGGACACTGAGAAAATACAAGGCCTTAATGTGACCCAGGAGTGATTCTCCACTCAGATCACTAAAAACCCTGCTTTGGAAAAGCATCATGGGAAGCAGCAGCCGCTGCCGTGGTGAACATTAGCGATGCTCCAAATAGCTTTGATAAATTACAATGCAATAGTTACACCACAGAGCTCTTCTCTGCTGCGCTAGACAAAGATGTGACAATAAAGGACACTATTGCAAAGCTTCACTTCCACTCAGACACACAGAAAATCCGGCACTAGGAAAAGGCGAACTGTAAGAGACAAAACGGTGTCTGATACAGTCCGATAACAAAGCCAGATCTCTGGTACCATAAACTGTACAAAAATGATAGAAAAGAATATGCACTGCTATTAACACAGTGCTTATTTTAATATAAAATAAACAGCTTACATTTCCACTGTAAATATAGGCTATATACAGAATATGTATAGATATAGCTACATGTATAAAGCTTCATTATAGGCCTCTGATACATTTATAACTATGGCTCCCTGAGCCATTTGTAGAGTGCATTTAATAACAAAAAATTAGTAATATGGAATAAATACAATAATAAAAACATGAAGAGTTCTTCTGACATGGTTTTAAAAACTCTCTGGCTTGACACATTGTGCTAAAAATTAAAAGATGAAAAGGCAATAATCTGCTTGGAGGAGGAGGAGGAGGAGGAGGGAGAGCTGGCCTGCCACAGGCAGGGAGTGTAGCTCTCCAAAATTAAAGTGACTTTGCCCTGAATTTTAGCCCTTGACAGCAACCTTGTTCTCCGCAGCAGCAAACATAGCATAGAAGCGCGAGTTCTCATTGGCCAGAAGGGCAGACGGCGTGTCGAATTCCACAACCTAAAAGCAAACAAGGCAAGTAAAGTATGTCAGTAAAATCCAGCAGAAAATGGATTCCTACTCCTTGGACTTGTGACATGGTAGTAAAGAATCAAAAACACAGCATTCATCTTTCGATTAGACAACAGGCAGTGAAAGTATGTGCGTTTATGGACACATACTGTAACCTGGAATGCTTTGGACTGGCTCAAACATTGGAACTAACTCATAGGAAGCAACCTCTGATGGCTCTGGCAGAGGCAGATTCTATGGGCTTTTGCCTTCTCTACCTTTAAGAGTCTTGCCCACCATTCTTGCACTTAACTGCTTGTGGCTCCCAAATGGAAGCCTGAAAATAGGTTAAGCATCTGTCATGGACCTGCTTGATGGCACAAGGCTTTATGAAAGTAATGGGAAATGACCACTAGGCCCCAGAGATGTAGGTTAATTCTGAGACAAATCGAGATTTGAAAACACTTTTAAAGACAGACTGTTACTCTATGATACTTTCTTGGAGTGTAAAAGATATTTTGCCCTCTGATCTTGTCACAGTCAGGCAGCAACTGCTTGTGTTGGAGTATTTTACCAAGGATATGAATGAACACAGAGGATTTCCCACCCTGTAATGCTAGCTGTTGCCCCAGTTCAGCCTGCACACATGGCATCACCAGGCAACAGGGGCTGCAGCAACAGAAGCCTTCCTGCTCACCTGTCCTTGTGTTAGCACCATGATCCGATCACAGCCCAGTACCGTGTGCAGGCGATGAGCAATTGTTAACATAGTGCAGTCAGCAAACGCCTCTCTGATGGTCTCCTGAATCAGTAGGTCTGTTTCTGTGTCCATAGCAGCTGTTGCTTCATCAAGGATCAATATCTGAAAGCAGCACAGAATCCTGGCTGTTACTCACAGTCATGCTTTCCCTCCCTAAACATAAAAATACGTAGAGTGGGCAGAATTGCCACAGCCAAGAGTTGTCACAACTGGCAATCCCTACAGAGTTGTGGTCACAAAGGTAGTTTTCACAAACACCCTTTCAGTTTTCTTGATGTAATTGCCTTCAAAATTACCCTATAGATCACACTTGCTTTCATCTTTCTCACTGTAATTATTGTTTGTCTTCTATTTCTGTAAAACCTTTCACTTTGCTGGCACAGCATGATCCCAAATTCCATTTGTAGATCACATTTTAGTGGAGTACCACGTAGATGGAAAAAAACTTGGCTCACACTCACAAAAAGGTGGAAGAAGGAAAAAATCTGATGCTCACCACTAACAGGACACTGAAGAAATTATCAGGCCAGTCTGACACACTACTGTTAACACTGGCAAGCAGTGCCTTTCCAATGGCAGGACATTACAGGAGCTCACAGCTGGCTACAAATGCCTTCCTAGTTGTTCTAACCTAATCTAATCATTGATGTGATTCCTCTGGCAGAATCTGGCACAAAAAGGCTTGTTCATTCCTATCAGTTTGATATCTCCAGCTGTTTCTCGCATTGTTGTGCTCACCTTGCAGCGACGCAGTAGAGCTCTAGCTATGCACAATAACTGTCTCTCTCCAACAGAAAAGTTTTCCCCATTTTCCATTACTTCTGAATCAAGTTTCATAGGCAGCTGTGCAACCTGTGGGGGAAGGAAAAGGCAAAAAAATCTTAGAGCATTGCACAAAATCTTATAAACGTACAGATCTCCTGATAATCTTTGTCATCAAGAGAAGAGAGTGAACCTAGTCCCTGCAGGAATTCCTGCAGCCTGCGTTCCATAGCTGTACGTGCCATTTGACTTACAAGTTCAGTATAAACGTGCACATGTGACATGCACACTCACAAATATAAGTGCAGAATGCACACCTAAGGCATATATAGAAAAATATCACTTGAAGGGTAAAAATATCACTGGAAACGTTTTAACACCTTAAGAATCCCTGTGATGAAGCAGCACTCTGCTATGCTATTGACTAAAAAGAGTACACACACAGAATACAGCATGTTCTCAAAAAAAATCTAACACAGTCTGATAAAATAGTGGGGAAAAAGAAAAATCAGTCAAATAAAGCATTGAAAATGAGGGGGGGAAGCTTTATCTAAAGTAGCTACTAACAGAATATGTTGGTTTGGAAGCCAAATGCAAACATGTATCTCACAGGGCACATGATACTTACACACTCCTTCATATGAGTTCTTTCCAAAGCAGCCCAGATTTGCTCCTCACTGTACTGATTGAAAGGATCCAAGTTCGATCTGGAAGGAGAGGCAGAAAACAACCAGAATTTTAACTCAGCAATGAATGGCAAACCAGCAGCGTGCTAATTCAGATTCAGACAGATGATTCACATCTAGCCTTCCAATGACAGAGTTTCCTTGCCAAGGAAATCAGATGTTCCCAGCACACTGGCGTTAGAAGAGACAAAGAACAAGAGTAGAGACGGAAGACAAAGATAGAAAAACTTCAACCAAATATAAAGGGAAAGCAAGACTTTGCAAAGAGGATGATCACACACAGTGCTGACCTGGGCCAGTTAAAATCATTTAGCTCTGATTTTTTTGTTTCAAAACCAGAGCAGAAGCTAGGATGCCTGAGAGCTATCACCTCAACAGGCACCTATTTGAGTTCAGGTATAAGCTGATCGATTGCTCGATCCTTCTTGCCTTCTTATAGTTTGACTAACCTCACAGTGCCACTGAACAGCACGGGTTCCTGAGGGATTATGGAGAGTTTACTTCGAAGATCTGCCAAACCAATGTCATTTATTTTCACTCCATCAATTTTAATGCAGCCTCCAGACAGTTCAACGAGACGAAAGAGTGCCATTCCAAGGGAAGACTTCCCTACAAAGGAGACAGGAAAAACAATACTGCTGTTCATACAGAGTCATGGCAGTTTTCAGATGAAATAGTTTTAAAAGCTGTCCATGTGTAAGAAAAGTATTTTAAACTACCATAAAGTCCTGGCAAGCAATCCCAGGGTTTAAACTTGTAAGCAATTGTAGGGGCAGCTCTTAATCTCTCCTCACAGAAGCCACCCCACCCTCACTGCCAAAACCTTGCCATGTAAACCCAATACAGCATTATTAATTACTTATTTTGAATCTACATTTTGGAGTTTATTTAAGTCATCTCACAAACAGAGGTTTTGATTCTTCCCAGTACAGACTTCTAAGATAGTTTATAGCTAAACCTGGCTGCAGCATCAGTACAAAAAACTTCCAAGAGTCAAATAAGCTGCAATCAACGTAGGTAACATTCTGTGCTGCTAAGTAGTTTGGGGAGTTAAACATAATGAACATATTGGCTCAAGCATAGTAGGATATCACTCTGCTTTAAATGGAAACTTATTTTCACTATTGTTTACAGGTATCTTCCTTATGTACGCACATGAACAGAATCCACCACTGAGACTTCTGGACTAGTCCTGTGCAACCAACAGTTTATCCAAAAACAGGAGAACCAATGACTGACCCAATCTATTCTTTTAAAGTGGTAATTTAACTC